CGGGGGGCGGGCGTGGGCTGGAGAGATGCCTCCCGGCAAACCCACGGTGGCTCGCCACACTCGCCGCCCTGAACTGGCGATGGGGAGTGCTGGGGACCCCGCTTGCCGTCCAGCCCTGAGCATGTGTAAAGGCAGGACCTCTGCTCGGTAGCAGAGAGAGCGTAGCAGGTACAGCCCTTGGACAGCCTGCTTGTGGTGTGGGGCGGGGGCAAACAGCCCCTCGCGTCTGTGGGCAGCAGAGTTTTCTCATACAATTATTTTAGCAGAGGATTTTTTGTTTACTTGTTTTAAATGAATGCGGAAAAACCCCCAAGCCCAAGCCGACGGCTACGTCAGCAGTGCAGCTGGCACAATTTCACAGCACTTTTGCTGCACAGGTAAGAACATATCACACTCCTTCCCTCATTCAGTTAATGAGGGGGGTTCAAGACAACTGACCGAACTCTTATTCAAGGTAGAAGTGGGTACTGAGAATTAAAAGGCTGCATTTTACGTCAACTTAAGCAACTTCTGTAGTGAACTATATTCTTCTCCTTACATGAAGATTACTAAAGATTATTTGCTTAGTATTTGCTATGGATAATTCTACAAAAGTATGTTTTTTCTTCAAATCCAGACTATGACACAGCAAAGTACTTGCTATTTTCAGAGCAATTTCAAGAACGGTGTATCCCATCCAATAAACAGACCTGAGGGGCCTCTGTTAAGTGTTATGTTCTATTACGGGATGAATTAAGGGATGGGAGGCAGAAGTGCGAAGAGCCAGAGGGTGCAAGGCGTCTACCACGAGGCAGGAGAGCTGAGGCATCAGGGAACAGGGGTGGTGGGAGAGGGAGAGGCTGCCTAAAAGGGGGAGTGGGCTTAGGAGCTCAGCACACCTTTATGCGGGGAGTGCACACAGAGGCATAATGAAAGCCCCCATCTGACAGAAACCAGCAGCAATAGGACTCACAATTTCAACACGGTTTACTACAGCTCTCAGGTGTGTTGTATAAAACATGTTTTAGTGCAACATAGTACAAAGTTTTTGTTGTTTTTTTTTTAAAAAAAAAACCCCAAACATTTTTCCACATCATGCATGGATAGGGTATCTCTCTTCTCGGGTTCGTTACAGAAAGTTACAGCAGAGAGAGTGGTTTGAAAAGCTTTGTGTTAAAACGTTACAGGAAGGGTCTGCCTTATAAAAACAGAGAGAAGTCTGAGACTGGGCAACACGCTGCCAGAGCAGCGGAGAAATGTCACCGGCCAGGTACATTCAGGGTCCGCCATGGGAGCCGCTTCCTGGGAAAGCCTGGGCTGGGTGCAGGAGCTGTGGGGCTGTGAAGGGACCCAGGGGGACGGGGCCAAGGGACAGCCCTCCAGGAGAGCCCTGCTCCGGGGCAGACAGGCCGGAGAGGAGGAGCCTGGCTCGGGGACAGCACACTGCTCTCCCAGGAAAGAATGGCTCCCGCCAACTTCATTTTCTCTTTTTTTCCTTTAAAGCTGAAATGAGTCGCAGTTCCTGCCCAGGAGCAGTACGTACAGGAGACACTACATTTAACGGAACAATACCCCTGAAGATTACTAAAGATTATTTGCTTAGTATTTGCTATGGATAATTCTACAAAAGTATGTTTTTTCTTCAAATCCAGACTATGACACAGCAAAGTACTTGCTATTTTCAGAGCAATTTCAAGAACGGTGTATCCCATCCAATAAACAGACCTGAGGGGCCTCTGTTAAGTGTTATGTTCTATTACGGGATGAATTAAGGGATGGGAGGCAGAAGTGCGAAGAGCCAGAGGGTGCAAGGCGTCTACCACGAGGCAGGAGAGCTGAGGCATCAGGGAACAGGGGTGGTGGGAGAGGGAGAGGCTGCCTAAAAGGGGGAGTGGGCTTAGGAGCTCAGCACACCTTTATGCGGGGAGTGCACACAGAGGCATAATGAAAGCCCCCATCTGACAGAAACCAGCAGCAATAGGACTCACAATTTCAACACGGTTTACTACAGCTCTCAGGTGTGTTGTATAAAACATGTTTTAGTGCAACATAGTACAAAGTTTTTGTTGTTTTTTTTTTAAAAAAAAAACCCCAAACATTTTTCCACATCATGCATGGATAGGGTATCTCTCTTCTCGGGTTCGTTACAGAAAGTTACAGCAGAGAGAGTGGTTTGAAAAGCTTTGTGTTAAAATGTTACAGGAAGGGTCTGCCTTATAAAAACAGAGAGAAGTCTGAGACTGGGCAACACGCTGCCAGAGCAGCGGAGAAATGTCACCGGCCAGGTACATTCAGGGTCCGCCATGGGAGCCGCTTCCTGGGAAAGCCTGGGCTGGGTGCAGGAGCTGTGGGGCTGCGAAGGGACCCTGGGGGAGGGGGCCACGGGACAGCCCTCCAGGAGAGCCCTGCTCCGGGGCAGACAGGCCGGAGAGGAGGAGCCTGGCTCGGACACAGCACACTGCTCTCCCAGGAAAGAATGGCTCCCGCCGACTTCATTTTCTCTTTTTTTCCTTTAAAGCTGAAATGAGTCGCAGTTCCTGCCCAGGAGCAGTACGTACAGGAGACACTACATTTAACGGAACAATACCCACTGGCTGCAGCTGCTGCTGTTTGTGCCTTGGTTCTTCATTTCCATTCACTTCTCATCCCACTCCTCTCTTTGCAGATGCTTTATCCAGAAAGGGAAGACAAATGTGTGGGTGTGTGATACATACATATATATATCTATATATAGGAGTGTGATACTATGCATATGCTGAAGCCAGTAAGCAGTTATGTCTCAAGGAGGCAGACATCACAGAGGGACGAGTGAAATTTGGGCATCCCAGAAGATGAAGAAGAAACCAACACTGTTCTGGTGGAGGACCGGAGGTGGCTGACTTCAGATGCCCTGGCATGGGACGGTCTGTGGCCACGTGGGTCCTCTCCCAGCCGCGAGAGAGGATGCGCGGTGCAGATCTCCCACCTGAGGCTTCGCCACCTCCGAAACACTGAGGCGTGAGGGTCCAACCGACCAGTGCTACACAGCATCGGCCAAGGTCCCCTCCTCTTCACAAAGAGCAGTCCGGCCCTCCTGAAGAGGATGATGATGGTGGGTATGGCACCTCTCGCACACGAGGCATGGGGGCGTCTTGCAGCTGCACCCGTCTGCCCCGGTTGGCTTCAGCCATGCTGCAAAAAATGAACGGCCGGATTTGCCAGGAAGACATCGAGGAAGACAACAAAAGGCCATTTTTGGCAAACATTTTCTTCTGCCAGACACAACGTGTGTGTCTGGCGTGTCGGGGGGGAGGCGGCTTCCTCCACTGGACAGGGCAGGGGTACTTGACATTACGGGGTACGGGAGCTCAGGTGCCCCACGCGGTGAGAGCCCTGGTTTGGTTCACGAGAGCCATATCTTTCACAGAAAGAACAGCATTTCCTGCCACAGCGACCGCCTACGACAAGAGCAGGTGACTTTGCCAGGAGGGGGAGCTTACGGAGAGATGGCTTCTCCTCCTAAAGCCCCAGAAATGAGAAACAGCAGACACACGCACACACGCAAGGGGAAGACTTCTCTCATCCCAAGGGGACAGGGAAGCCCCCTGGGTGCCGACGCGGTGCAGGCTCCTCGCCTTGTCCAAGCTCGCGCCGGGAAGTAGTGCAAGCTGCAGGGAAACTCGTGACATGTGGTGGTTAACTGCATGTCCCTGCTGCATGGCGTGGCCACAGCCGGGCTCCTTGGCTGAACCATCCAGGGGCTGTGAACCCAACCCGTGGAGCTTCCCCCTTTGCAGAGTCATTACTTTGGTCATTTTGAAGTCTTCAGAGGCTGGATCCAGCCACCCATCCCCAGGTGACCGGAGCACAGAGGGGACCTGCCTCGTCAGAGGTGGTGGCACGGACACTGGGGAGGAGCACGACTCTGGTAAGCTGGACCGTACGAGGAACCTCTTTGCTACCGGCAAAGTCTGGGCTCTGAGGCATCCTCCTTCCATCCCCCCCTTCAGCTCCTGGAGACAAATTAAATTGCTCTTGTCCTGACCGCAAGCTCGCTGAATACTCAAGTCTCTCCAAGACCTGGGAACGCTCCCAAAAGGTGAATTGCTCCCTCCTGAGAGAACAGTAAGATGGAGGCAAGAAGATGCTGAGGCTACAGCCGGTCTTCGAGATGGACCTCCCGATGGCCCAGCTAACCCCTCCGGAGGTGGACCTGGCTTTGTTGGTTTTGGAAAAGGGAGGAGCTAGCTCAGCGCACCTTGGGGAAAGACCACCTTCACCGTGGCACCGAGTCTACGGAGGAAAACCAGTCTGTTTTCCAAAACACATTTACTTCCAAAGGGATCGTCCCAGGACCAAAGGCCCCCCCGGGAACTCCTCGCTGTGTGGAGGGCGGGGGAAGCCTACAGTTCTCCGAGTGACCGAAAAAGCAACGACAACAAAAACGTAACGGCCCAAGAGACGGCAACCGATGGCAGCAAAATTAATCCGAGAGGAACATCCGCTATGTACAGCAAGCGCAGGGACCCTCCGTCCATCGCGGTGAGGGGGTGCGATCCCACAGGGGCTGGGGGAAGCCTTGGACCTTCCCATCCCTGCCAGCTGGGAGCTCTGCAGAGCTCAGCCACCGCACCGGAGCACAGACACTGAAACAAATGAAACAAGAAGAACAAAACCCACTCTGTTCCTTAGGGTTCCTGGTGTGCCTCTGCTTCTCTCTCTCTCTGCGTGTCCCCCCGGGTGCCTCTGCCTCTTTAGTCTATGGTTCCTGGGTGGATGCTGAGGACTGGCGGCTCTAGGCAAGTGGGAGAGTAGTTGAGGTGAGGCTCTTTGATCCACAGCAAGGGGACTCCGTTCTTGCCCTCCGAGTTCTTGCTGGAGTTTCGGCTCTTGAACCGCACCAGGAGGATGGTGATGATCAAGATGCCGAAGATGGGGAAGGGGTAGAAGAACACAAAGTAGAAGAGGGCGTCGTTGGAGCAGATGACGGACTGCAGTGTGGAGCCTGGAAAGAGACACAGTACGGTCACATTTCACGGATTCTCTGCAACACAGGGCCTACAAACTTCTTCACAAACATAAAATACCAGATGCTCATTAATCTCTGTCAATGCAGGAGGTGGGGCTCCGAAAAAAACACCAACACTGGAAAACACAGCAGTAGAAGAAAGTTGTTGCAGGACACATTTCGCCTTTATCCCCTCAAGAGTGTCACGAGTACTGGAGAACCCTCCCCGGTGCGGACTGGACGGTCTGGGCGGACTTGACGGTATCTTACAAAGCGGGGAGCCCCGCAAAGCGCTGATATTCCCTCAGCAGCAGTACACGGAGGCAGCACCCCAGGGTACCTCCCTCAAGGGCCCACAAAACTCTCACGACCTCGGTTGTCTCCGGGGCCTCTAAACCATCCGATGGCTTCAAGAGCTTCTGGGAGCAGACCCCTGTGCCACAGCTCCCACCCTTGTGCAGAGCTAAGCCAACTTCCAGGGTGCTTCCCAAAGGGAAAGGTTAAACCCCAGCGGGGGGCAATGTCCGACCCCGCTGACTCAGCACACACCAGGCGTTCAGTGCTGTGGGGTGGGCAGCTCCGGCACAGAGCGAAGTGCAGTGCGGACGCTCAAACCCAAGCAAGAGCTGGGCAACGAGCCATCAAACTGACTGAAAAAGCACCGCCATCACAGGCTTTCCCCGGTATGGCTGAGACCCTGTCCCACTCACTCCGTGGCCTTTTTATCTTGGTTGAACCAAAGACGCCGGGGACGCCAGGGCCATGCCTCCAAGAGGGTCGTCACCTCTTCTCACCTGCATCCTGCACATGAACAGCGACCGTCCCCGACTCCTCCTCCGCCAGCCGGTACCACACGCCGTTGGGGTCAGCCAGCCACTCCTCCACGCGGCACGCGTAGTTGCCCGTGTCGGCACCGCCCGCTTGCAACGGAAGAGCACCGCCGAGAGCCTCTGGAAGCGCAGGCGGCCCTCCCAGCGACCGGCCTCGGGGCTGAAGACGGCATCGGGGCCCACGCTCAGCACCGCTTCCCTCTCTTCCTCCTCCTCATCCTCCTCGGCGTGGCCGCCTGCCTCTTTGGCCCGCAGGTTGTACCACGTCACCGCAAAGTGGGAGTCCGGGCTGGAGCGGGACAGGATGCTGCAGTCCAGCGGGAAGGACTCCTTCTCCTGCACTGTGAGGTTGGCAGTGGCCGTGTCCACCTGCAAGGTGGGATCTGAGAGGACAAAGTGGGAGAGGTGAGCGCTGAGCAAAATGCTGTTGCCCAGGTCACCCCGCCCCAGTGCAAACTGACTCATGACTCCGGTGCCGGGCGCGATCCCAGCAAAAGCCCAAGGCTTGCTGCAGCCTGCCAGGTCCCACAGGCACCTCTGCGGTCAACCCCTCAGGCGCAGCATCCTCAGCCCCCGGCGCAGGGTCAGACAGGAGCCGGCTGCGAGCGCCGTGCCATCGCCCTGCCCGCGCGGACCCTTGCACCAACGAGCGTGTGTGTGTGTGAGGGGAGAAAGTTGCCGCAGCTCATCCAGACGCGCTATGAGAACCCACCAGAAATACCCAGGTTCGGTGCGTGTGCTGAAGAGCAATCTACTACTACTCCCCAGCTACCGCTGCAAAGAGCACTGCACTCCATGATGATTTTTAATTTCTCCGAGAGCGCTCAAAGGACTTGAAAATCAGTACGACAGGAGAGGAGAGGACTTTTTCCAGCAATCTGGCAAGTTATTTATGTAAGAGGTTCCTCCACGGAGATGTCCTCAGCACAGACACAGCAAAGACGCTTCTGAAAGTCTCCCTCTCTCGTTTTTTTTTTCTCTACTTCTTGCTGCAAGGCTAAAGAGATGTTTTTACCTAACAAGATACAGCGGCCAGAACCCAAGATGAGTTGATTAAAGGCTGACTTCAAGAGCAATTAACATTTGGTTTAGTCATCCTGCCAGGGAACACATACTCCAGGGATCGCAATCAGTCCGGATCTAAGCTTTCATTTAAAGATTAAAAAGCCCTTTCCAACACGGGGGCTGAGCAGAAGGGCAAGCTGATAGCTCACTGAAGAGAGAGGCACCTTCCTCCTCCTCCAGCGAAGACAGCCGGGCAACCCCTTGCTTGCACGGACCCCGGGGGTCCCCACAGGAGGGGGCTGCTGCCCCCCAGCTCTCACCAGCCGCGGGACTGCTGTGCCCAGCGGGGCTTCTCACTACAGCACCTGCCCTACACTTTTAAATGGTCCTGTAAGGGGAACGTTCATTAAGGCCAGAGCTCTTCAGGCTGTAGGCAACACGAGCGTTTTCAGTTCACATCTGCCCCGGAAAAGCTCCTGAGCAGCAGCAGGAACGAGGTAAGTCCTGAGATTTCAGGGACTACTGAGGGAAACAGCAGGAGGGGAAGGAAACGGCTCGTCAAAACCAACACAAATCCTCCCCCACCTCAGCAGGTTAAGCAGAAAGAGGAGAACTGTTGTCTGAATGTGCTGAGAGGTTTTTTTCCCCCCCCTGCTGCTCGTGATTATAGTCCTGAAAGACTATGAGCACGGAGATCCTCACTAATGAGACATGAGTCACAAGCAAGTTTAGTCATTTTGTTAAGTACTGGCTGCTATGAAATAAAAACAAACAACAACAAAGGACTTTTAGAAAAAAATTATCTTGAATTAGTGCACGCCCAACTCCCTCTCTTCTTCCCACTCCACGTCCTTCTGCAATTCAAAATAAGCCTCAAGGATTTCCCCTGCTGCTCGTCCGTCCCTCTGTCCGTCCGGGGTCTCTGCTCAAGCCACCTCGGCCAGCAAAGTTGCCCAAGCAAGGGACCTGGAGGACAAGGGCTGTGCTATCCCCTGCGAGAGCTCCTCCTTCGCAGTACAAATCTTCTCTGCCAGGAATGACCGTGATTTCCAGAATTTTACCCTTTTGCCAGCTCCGCTGCAAAGCGACAAGGCTGACACCTTGCTGGAATGAGGAGGCATAAGGCACCACAGCCGTACTTGTGGAGTGGTTGCTTTACATGCTGGAAAGTACCCAGCAGATGAAGACCGTAACTGTTATTTCACCTACAGCCTTTAAGGCAGACATTTCATCTTAAGTTATATGCCTCAAAAACTAGGGAATCCGTATTTTCCAAGGTAAATTGTCCTTGCAGCTTATCTGTTGTTAAAACAGATGACACTTAGCAGAGCACCCTGGGAATCCTCTTCTGAGGGCTTGCGAGTCCACAAGTGCCAGTCAGTCTTTAAGAACCACCTTTCAGAAGCACAAGAGTAGACAATTCCACTGTGTCTTAAGTCAAGCAAGTGAGGCAGAAGGCCAGCTTCGCAGTACAGGGAACTCGTGGAGCTCAGAAGAAAAAAGAAATTGTATGATCTCTGGAAGCAAGGTCAGGCTTTGCAGGAAGAGCTCTGGTTTGCATATGCTGGGAGAAGACATGAAAGGCCAAAGCTCAGTTAGAGCTGAAACTGGTCAGTGTCGTGTCAGCTAACAAGCAGGGCTTTTTTTAGGTATGCTAATAGCAAGGAGGTCTAAAAAAACCATGGGACCAACATTTGTTGAAGATGGTTGGACAAATACTTGTTGAAGATGGTTACCTGACTACTAGGGATGAAGAAAAAGAGGAGCCATTCAATGCTTTTTTTGCCTCAGTCTTTAATAATACTGATAGACCTTGGGCTGTCCAGTCCCCTGAGTCAGAGGACCACAAGTGTGGGAACAATGACTGACAATTTCAGTGTCCACAAATGGAAAGGGACCAGCATACACATGAATGTTCACAAGTCCATGGGGCCTGATGGGATTCATCCCAGAGTACTGAAGGAGCTGGCAGATGTTATGGCAGGATCCCTGTCGATCATCTACCAAAGGTCTTGGGAGCCTGGGAAGGTCCCTGCTGACTGGAAGCTAGTCAATGTTGTTCCAGTCTACAAAAAGGGTGTGAGGAAACTACAGACCTGCTAGTCTAACCTCAGTTCCTGGAAAAACTATGAAGATTCTACTGGGTACTACTGAATGGCATTTAAAGAATAATGCAATCATCAGGCACAGTCAGCATGGGTGCACAAAGGGAAACTCCTGTTTAACCAATTTGATATCCTCCTACAATAAGGTCACCCGACTAGTGGATGAAAGCAAGGTGGTGGATGTAGTTTTTCTGGATTTTAGTAAGGTTTTTGATACTGTGCCTCACAGCATTCTTCTGGATAACTTGTCCAACTGAGATGAGCAGGTTCACGGTGCGCTGGGTGAAGAACTGGCTGCAGGGCAGAGCTCAAAGGGTTATAGTGAATAGGGCTACATCTGGCTGGTGACCAGTCACCAGTGGTGTTCCTCAGGGCTCAGTTCTAGGGCCAGTTCTGTTCAATATACTTATCAAGAATGTGGAGGCAGGACATGAATGCACCATTAGCAAGTATGCTGATGATACCTAACTGGGAGGTGCTGTTGACTTGAGGTACAAGAGGCCTTGCAGCGGCATCTAGATAGATTGGAGCACTGGGCAACGATTAATGGGATGCAATTTAACAAGTCCAAATGCTGGATTCTGCACCTGAGACAGAGTAATGCTGTACACAAGTATAAACTGGGAGTGGAGTGGCTGGAGAGCCACCCTGCAGAAAGGGACGTTGGGGTGCTGGCAGCAGCAGCATCAATAGCAGTCAGCAGCATGCCCTGGCAACCAAGTGGGCAAACTGCACCCTGGGGTGCATCAAACCCAGCCTAACCAGCCAGACGAAAGAGGTGATTGTCCCGCTGTATTTAGCACTGGTGCAGCCTCACCGTGAGTGCTGTGCGCAGTTCTGGGCCCCACGGTGTAAGAGGGATGTGGAAGTCCCTGAACGTTTCCAGAGGAGGGCAACAAAGCTGGTGCAAGGGCTGGAAGGAATGTCCTACAAGGAGAGGCTAAGGACTTCGGGCTTGTCTAGTTTGGAGAAAAGGAGGCTGAAGGGCAGCCTCATTGCTCTCTGCAGCTTCCTGAGTAGGGGATGTGGAGAGGGAGGTGCTGAGCTCTCCTCCCTGAGATCCAGCGATAGGATGCATGGGAATGGTTCACAGCTGCGCCAGGGTAGTCTTAGACTGGACATGAGGAAGCGGACAATGCCCTTAACAACCTGCTTTAGCTTTTGGTCAGCCCTGAAGTGTTCAGGTGGTTGGACTAGATCATTGTAGGTCCCTTCCAACTGAAATATTCTATTCTAATTCTTTTCTATTCCATATTCTATTCTCAACCCTTTGAAACTGGAGTTTCCGCCCTGGTCTGAACTTCCATAGCACTTTTTTCCCCCACTAGATCCTGGAAAGAAGCAGCAGCACCTGCGGCCATCCCTGATGCCTGCCTCTCTGAGTCTGGGCACAGCCAAAACAGTGGTGGTAGGCAGTGGGATCCACCAGAACAGCATCACTGGCAAGAGGGTGGCCAGGAAGCCCATAAGTACTCCCTTGTCCATACAGAGGCAGGCTCCTCATAGCCAGATCTTGCCCCATCAAGAAGCCCGAGCCCTCGTCCCAACCAACAGACGAGCCCTTAAGAGCTGCACACCCCATATCTGCTTCTTCACCTGCAGAACAGGGAGCAGCAGCATGAGAAACTGCCTGGACACCAGCAAGGGTCTCAACCTCCCCTGCTGCTCTCTTTTCATGCAGGGATCCTGCCCCTGGGGCACACGCCTGGGAAGCAGAGATAGATTCTCCCTTCTCATTCTCAATCAAAATGTGAATAAAACTGGAAGCCTATCCTATCGAATCTGCCAAAAGTGCTGTAAAAAAACAAATTTGCAGATGCAGTGGTGATAAAATCCGAAGCCCATCTATCTGTTTGCAGGGCTTGCTCCATGCTCCTTCCAGAAAAGCAACGGTGCACCCTAGAATACATGCAAGAAAGCATCACCACGGTCTGTAGCATAGTGGTCCTGCCCTTTGCCCAGACCCACTGTCAACGACAGACAGATGGTGGCGTTCGGTCCAAGAGGGCAGAGCACCGCTCAAAGCTGCTGGCACGAGACCCTCCTCACCTGGCTGCTTGACGGTGAGGGTGATGAGTCCGGAGAGGTCCTCTGCCCGCTTGTACCAGCGGTCACTGGGGTCGAGAAGCCACTCCTCCACACGGCAGTCGTAGGCCCC